TCTCTCTCTCTCTCTCTCTCTCTCTCTCTCTGAGGATATTTCAGAGGTGAAGGAGGCGACGCGAACGAAACGTATCGATGCCGGCGGGCCCGAGCAAACTAAAAATATCCGCCGAGAACGAGTTTCGGGGCGTTAATTCAATATTGTGCGTCGTCACAAAGCTGCCACGCAAACCCGCAGTGACAGTTCACCTCTTCCCCTCACCCTCTCCCGCGCCTGAGAGTCCGCTGCTGCCGCCGCGGGGCGCGGTGACGGGGATGCGGGATGTACGCGCGCTGGCGACGGAAGAACGATCATTGAATGAAGCGCTAATAGTTTCTCACTCGAGGAGGTTAGATCTCTGACGAGGAAAGGTCCGTTGTTTCATTTTACGCCCGCATGAACCGCCCGTGGTTGCCTTCACAGTGTCGCATTAGCGCGCTCTCTCTCTCTCGCTTTCTCTTTCTCTTTCTCTCTCTCATTCGCTTTCTCTTTCTCTCACGCTCGCTCGCTCGCTCTTATTCTCGCTCTTTCTTTCCGCGCTCTCTCGTACTCTATGTAATGTATCTATTCCCCATCTGTCTCTCTCGTTCTCTCTTTACTGACTGTCTCTCGCTCGTTCTCTCTCGATCTCTCTATCCCGCTCTCTTTATCTCACTCTTCTCTATCTATCGCACCACGCTTCTCTCTTGCTCTTGCGCCCTCTCGCTCGCTCGCGCTCTCTCCCCTTCTCTTGCTCATTTCCCCCCGTCTCTCTCTTTCTCTCTCTCTCTCTCGTGCGCTCTCTCTCTCGCGCGCGCTCTCCCTCGTCCTTCCCCGTCTCTTCTCTTTCTCTCTCTCTCTCGCTCTCTTCTCTCGTTCTCGTTCTCGTGGATTTATCGAGCAGATGCAAGCGGTCTAGCGGCGCTGGTGGCCGTGAGTAATAGGTGGGAGGGGAAGGAAGAGGATGACTGTCGTGAGTGTGATTAGATGCTACTAATCAACTACTAATTAATCATGTTGCCTTCCTCATCGCATCGCACCGCGGCCGCCTCCTCTTCCAATACGAAGGCAGGAGAAACACACAGAAAAAATAGAAAGAGGGAGAGAGAGAAAGAGAGATAGATTGAGAAAGAGAGACGGAATGGCAGAGAGAAAGAGAGAGAGAGAGAGAGAGAGAGAGAGAGAGAGAGGGGGGAGAAAGAAATATTGTAATATAGATAGAGCGACAACGAGAGAGAGAGAGAGAGAGAGAGAGAAAGAGAGAGAGAAAGAAAGAGAGAGAGAGAGAGAGAGAGAGAGAGAGAGAGAGAGAAAGCAAGATGTGTAGGCTTGCAGCATATACCTCCTCTCTTTCTCCCTTCTTCCCCTTCCTTTTCTTCCTCTCTCCCCTATCCTATCCCCACTCTTCCGCCCTTCTTCCCCATCGTTCTCTCTCTCTCCTATCCGCCATCTTCCACTCTGCCTCTCTTTCTCCCTTCTTCCCCTTCCTTCTCTCTCTCCTATCCTCCCCATCTCTTCCCCTTCCTTCTCTCTATCTCTCTCCTATCCTCCCTCTTCCTCCCTCCCTCTCTTCCCCTTCCTTCTCTCTCTCTCTCCTATCCTCCCTCTTCCTCCCTCCCTCTCTTCCCCTTCCTTCTCTCTCTCTCTCTCTCTCTCCTATCTTCCCTCTTCTTCCCTCCCTCTCTTCCCCTTCCTTCTCTCTTTCTCCTATCCTCCCTCTTCCTCCCTCCCTCTCTTCCCCTTCCTTCTCTCTCTCTCACTTTCTCCTACTCTCCCTCTTCCTCCCTCCCTCTCTTCCCCTTCCTTCTCTCTAAGAAAGAAAGAGAAATGAAGTAGCATGTAATAGAGATATAAAGACGAGAGTAATTTCTCTCGGTTGCCTCATCCACGTCAGAGCGCTGTAATTTATAGCCGCTATAATGCATGCGATTGTCACCCCTAGGGGGCGCCTCCTCACCAGCGAGCCGGGGTCGGCACTGGATGGCAGTCTTGTAACTGCTGATTGCCTCCACGTATCGCTTCTGCTCCTGCAGCAGTATGCCCCTGCAGACAGAAGACAAACTATATAATAACACAGATATAGACAGATTAACAGATATAGCAGATATAACAGATAAACGCAGGTAAACCAAGATGCACTCTACTTTAACTGGTGGCGCCACCTGGCCGCCGACGTGCACACCGATATATATCAGGAGCTAATAATGACAAATTAAAATTATTAATAACTTAAAATTAATTTGTTACTATTAGCTCCTGATATATATATATATATAATTATATAAACATAGTGTTTTTATCAACATCTGTTTATCAACATAGATCCGTGGATGTGTAATATCACTGTAGCGCCGCCTGGCGATCGACGTATACACCGATCTATAAATAAATATATAAATAATTAAAAATATATACATATATATATATATATTTATTTATACACATACTGTTTATATTAACATGCTGTTTATACATATATCCGTGGATGTGTAGCATCACTGTCGCGCCGCCTGGCGTATGACCACGTACAATGCATGATTGTGCCACAACCTAAGGGTATTCAGTGAGGGTAAACCCCGCCACCCCGGGAATGGTTGTCTCCAGTGACTGTCATAAGGATATAACAATCGTAAAGATATAACGATAGCAATTACCTCAGAGGTTTGGAATGTCGTAACCCTTTACCCCGATACCAAACTGCCGCGAAATTGCTGCTTGCGAAAGACAATGACGAATGCTATACGGCCCCATAATATATCATCGTGACTCTCTAAGACGGTCGAATAAACCAGTTCACAGAATTTACTCATAACTACAGCAAGAACGAAATTAAGCTCTTTAACGACGCATAAATTTAGGCGTTTTAATTTTAGAGTTGAAAAGCTGCGAGCGGCACGAAGACAAAGAACCGAGTCTCAAGTATTTCTCAGTAACAGTAGCGGTGAAATAAATCGTCACGATCGTAATATATATCTGCGTAAAATATCTGCGTAAAAGTGACACAAGGGACGTCGAACGCGCCGCAATAGTTCTGCTATCTCTTCCTCGCCTAGCTGCCATCCGCGTGACTAGCGCGACGAAGAAGTCAACAGACGTCGTCGGTACACTCACAGGGGGCGCCTCGGTGCGTGTGCGGCTCTGTGAGTGAATTTCCATTTTGTTGTGTTCTCACCTCGCGTGCGCGAGCGGCGCCCCCCCCCCCACCTCCCTGACGTTACCTCATAGGCTCAGTAGTTGCCAGTTTGCATCCTCCAAGAGTTGACAAGGGACGTAGATTTAAGTCGGTGGGAGATTCGTAGCATATACATGTCTAACGTAGTGGGACTATAGTTTACTATTGCTTAATATTGATTATTCGAATAATTGATATTGAATAATCAAATATTTAATATTCATAATCGATTACACAATATTGCTAATTAATAAAACAATCATATATGTGTTTGATATTAGATATTGATATTCAAATATTCGAGATTGATGATCGAACATTCAATATCAATACTCGATATCCGCTTTGAAGTTCAATACATACGCCTCGTGGTGGTTGGTTGCCCATCAGCGCCACCTCGTGTTTGAATCGCACACGACTGGTCGCCATGACGACGCACAGAAGCTGCCACGTAGTATAATTAAACTGCACTTTCCTATATTGTAGTTTCGTACAGACTTTCGGACTAACTCTCAGACTATTTTTCAGAAAACATGTCGGACCAACTCTCAGACTAACTTTCAGAAAACCTTTCAGACCAACTCTGAGATTCTCAGACTAACTTTCACAAAACTTTTCAGACCAACTCTCGAGTAGAGCGAATCCGTGCTATATATACTACATATATGAAGGACACAATAGAATAAATACATGCTTTATATACTATATATATATATCTACTGCTACTATATATATATATATATAAATATATATATATATATATATATATATTATATA